AGCCTCAAGATCAAGAAAGTGCCATGCTTAGAAATGCCAGCACTCAAATCATTTTGGTGTAGAGGAAGCACCCTGCATTTGGGATCAGAAGGCCGGGTGGATGTGTTCATTCTGTGACGACTCTACTGTGTGATGTGGCCTCTCAGTGCACGTCAGATCTTCACCAAGTGTCTGCATCTGTAATCATCACCCTCTTCCTAACCAACCATGTTAAATTGTTGAGAAAGAGTAAAGTGTAAGATTAATGTGAATTTTTGTTTGCAGTGGCCTGTACTGTCTACAAAAGGGAGAGCTGTTATTATCATCATTACTCAATTTTTCCTGAATTTTTTGGCTTAAAGTAGCCACACAAAAGTATTTTTCAGAAAATCCTGGGAGTAAATATTATTTGATAGCCAAATTTGATTGTCAACTTGACTGAATTAAGAAACATCTAGATTAGTGAAGCATACGCCTGGATGTTGTTAAGAATTTGGTTTTAACTCCCCCACTCCACGCCACCTCCCTTGAACTCTTCCTCACCAAAGTGTTTTAAGTAGAGAGCCCTTTCTGGGGTCAGAACTGCAGTGGGGAGGGGGGTAGAGGAAGGGGGGTGGTGAATGTTAGGATTAGGAGTTGATGGAAAAGCAAAGCAAGGCTACCAACCTCATACAATCCATACTGACCTTTATTAGTCAATGAGGGGTGACTCCTGATCAGTGAGTCTTCAGTAACCACACTTGCCAAACAGCAGGGAAGCTTAAGTACTTTTGTGTTTGTAAACAATCATGGGAGGTGGGTAGACGATCTGGGGGCTACATTCTTCCCAGGTAAGGGTTTTGGAAGGTATTGTTTGCAGAACTTTATGGTTGGGGTTTCTGGAGGTCCCAGATGGGCTTGTTTGAAGAATTGCTTGACGGTTTGGGGCTTATGGAGGTCTCCCTTCAGTGTGTCTATGATAATGTTTCCAAGGGAGTTGTATCATGAGAGCTCTAATGGATTCCTAATAGAATAGCATTATTGAGAGGTGGTGAAAAGTAGGAGGTGGAGTCTAGACAGAGGAAGTAGGTCACCCTGTATGCCCTTTTGATCAATTTCCTGTTCTCCATCACATGCACCACCATGATGTTTACACAAACACATGAGGCCAAGCAACTATAAACTGAAACCTCTGAAACTATGAACTGAAACAAATGCTTCCTCATCTGGAGTTGTTCCTGTCAGTGACAATAAAACTGAGTAATATACTATTCAGTGAATGACAAAGAGATAGTTTGTGCCCAGTTTTGCCATTGTCATCCTTATGTGTAATACATGCTCTTTCTACATCTCAGTGAGGGATTGGTATCTGGGCACTGTGCATTCATTTCAACTGGGAAAAAGCTGTGAAGATGTAGTAACTTTGGGAAAGGCTAGATCTAGAACCTGTTTCCCTCCCTCAGGGCCTCAGGCAACTAAATGAGCTTAGCATGTTGTCTGTACAGAGCTTGTCATTCTAGAGTGATTTGTCCAGGTGGCCATTGTGCTGGTTAGTTTTTTTTATCAACTTGACACAAACTAAAATCACCTGGAAAGAGGGAAACTCAGTTAAGGAATTTCCTCCATTGGGTTGGCCTATGGTCACATCTCTGAAGCATTTTCTTAATTGCTGATTGATATAGGAGGGCCCAGCTCCTTGGGCATTCCTGGGCAGGTGTTTCTGGATTATATAAGAAAGGTAGCTGAGCAAGCCAAGGAAGTAGACAGCATTCTTCTTTGGTCTCTGGCTTCAATTCCTGACTCCAGGTTCCTACTGTGAGTTCCTGCCTTGGTTTCCTCACTGATGGACTATCACTCGAAAGTACAAGACACAGTAAACCCTTTCCTCCCTAAGTTGACTTTGGTCAGTGTTTTAGCACAGCAACAGAAACAAACTAGAGCAGTCATCAAATTCCTAGTGCTGTTTACAGCAGGCACACATGAAATCACTGGGGACTGGAACTAGTTAAATACTTCAGCCTGTTCTTCCTCGATGCTAATTGTAAGGCTCTCTCCATTTCTCCCAAGCTGGTCCCATATTGGGCAACTCTGTTACCTGGCCCTTTAGCTCCTTGCTCAAATCTAACTGCTTCAGGCTTTGGCCCTTCAGTTACCTATAGAATGTATACTACCTCATGAGTTCATTGAGATTCTTCTCATATGGACAGTCCAGTTTCCCTGACAAAGAAGCAGAGAGGTATGGGCCTTTTGTTCTTTGGAGCCCTGGAGGTAAATCTAAATGCTTACCGCATGAGCTTCTGGTTTGTGATTTTGCTCTTTTTTTTTTCCCCCAGTGCAGAAACATATGATCAGAGTTGCCTTACTGTCTGTTTTTTTTTTTTTTTAAGAGAAAAGTGTGTTGAATTACAAACATTTAAATGTTAATACATTGCTAATATTTTTAATATATTGTCACTAGAAATGGTCTAGTCTTTAAGGAAAGAATGTATGGGTGTCTGCTAAACATTTTTTCTTTCATGTCTATAGGAGTACCATAAAATCTGTCATCTAGACCATAGCATTTTGGGGGAGTAAAAGGGTATGGTTATCAATTTTTTCAGGTGTAAGGAATTTTTTTTCAAGTGTTACTTCCTCCAGCTCCCTGGTTTGGAGGAATAAAGGTGTACTTGCAAAGGGTGAGGAGATGGGCCTTGGTAAACTCCAGGAAGGACCCTCAGGCTGGGATGAACAAGGAGACTCAGGACCAATCACAAGCCAGATCAATTTTAGAGAACTATGCCTGATGGGCCATGGCTGAAATACACCTATTCGGAAGACAGAGCCAGATTATTGAATGTCTTAAAAGCCAAAGTGAAAGGTTCCAGTCCTGATGTAGATGGGCATAGTAACTGCTAGTTGTTATGGAGATGGAGAGGGCAATGAAATGCAGAATGCTCCAGGGGCACAGAGCAGGTGCTGAGATGGAAGAGGAGTTGTCACAAACTCAGATATAGGGTCTGGAGAGATGGCTCAGCGGTTAAGAGCACAGGCTGCTGTTGCAGAGGACCCAGGTCCAGTTCCCAGCACCCACATGGCTGCTAACATCCATCTTTAACTCCAGTTCCGGGGGATCTGATGCCCTCTTCTGACCTTCACAGACATTGCATGATGTGGGCACACTCACATAACAATGCAGGCAATATACTCATACACATAAAATTTTTTAAAATTAAAAAAAAAAAGAACTAGAATGTGAAACCTAGTTTCTTAATATATTCCATAAACATTTACCAAGTACCCATAGTGTACAGAGTACTGGCCTATGAGCATGAGACAGAGTAACGGGATAGAATCCAGCGGGGGAAGCTGACATTTTGAAAGAGAATCAGTTTTTTACAATGGGTGTTAGAGGCAATCCTTGAACCATGTTCATAGAGTGCAGGCAGCCAGATGAAGGAGGCAGGGAAGGAGACATGCATCCCAGACAAAGGTGTGACTGTAATAACATGGTACACAAAGCAGAGACACTCAGAAACACTGGTGAGATTTTAGGCTCTAAGCAAGCAAGGGTCATGCAGATCCTGCAGGCTTTGATGTAAAGTTCTAGAAGAATCCTCCAGTGTTGAGACAGCAGGAGGAGATGTGAGAGAAAGCAGAAGAGCTCTGGAAAGAGGCAGCAGATCTGAGCAAAGGGTGGCAAGTTATGTGACACAGAAGCGAAGGAAGGAAGTGGAGTGTCAACAGCAGCTGCAGCAGAGACAGCAGAGACGTGCAAAGGGAAGGGTGAACCCCGGAGAGCAAGCGCTTGGCTGGAAGGGGTACTGGGCTCCTGCTACTTTCTGCAAGTAGGTTTGCTGAAACTAAGTCACCATCTTCCCATAGCTGCTACTGCAGCAGAATTGCTGGTTTTCCCTCACAAAGAGGGACTTCTCAGCTACCACAGCTGCTTAGTTCTCACGCCTCTCCTTTTTGTGAAGTTGAGTGACCAGTGATGGGGGAAGAACTGGGAGCTGTGGCCTGTGATGACTCACAGCAGCACATGCTGTGACCACATCCCTGTTGTCTCTCTTCCTCACTCGTGTGTGTGTGTGTGTGTGTGAGAGAGAGGGAGAGAGAGAGAGAGAGAGAGAGAGAGACTGAAGGAGCATGAACATGAGTTCATGTGGACCCCATATTACAAGAACAAAAGAAGAGGTATTAACCTAGTTAAGTTTTTTGAATTCTTTTGCATTGTGAGGGAAAAGTAGTGACTAGTAGAACTTCTCCAAAACAGGAGTTTGAGGTGCTGCCTGCCGTTACAGCAGCTAGCTCCCAGGATTCCTATATGGGCATTTTTACACTATGTAACATACCTGCCTTTGTCTTGGGATCACTCTAATCCTTCAGAGCCAGTGTCTTCAGGACATTGATAAGACTGCAGGTGACTTCACCCTCACAAGTCCCATCTTTTTCTCAGAACAGTGGCTGATGCTGAGCATCCACTGATGAGCTACTGGACTTAGTGGACTCTCCAACCTACAAGGGATGGAGATTATATTTTCTAGCACCAAATCCTATCTCACTGCTGGAAAAGTCTAGTAACCTCCCTGATTTTGGTTAAGCCATTGGTTGAGAATCCTGTTCTGTGTAGTAAATTGTACCAATCTATCATATGACAATTAGCAAAAAAGATGGAGAAAGCCCAAATGTGTTGGCTCATGCCTGAAATCTCAGCACTCAGGCTAAGGCAGGAGGATTGCTGTGAGCATGAGACCAGCCTGGGCTGCAGAGTGAGATGCTGTCTCAAAACAAAACAAAACAAAAACATGGAGAACACAAAGTTGTATCTTTAGAAATTAATTTGAACTTTTATAAAACTGCCAATTGAACGACTAATTGAAGCTACTAAGTAGCTTCAATTTAAAGTATAATTTCCTAAGTTGTTAGATATGTATTATTTAATCCAAACATATAGCACGGACTTTTACTAATACAGAAATATGATTTTTGGCTCAATATGAATTGATCCTTAAGAATTTGCTGCACTGATGGTTTGGGTTAATGTTTTTCTTCTTCCATTGCAGGGGCTGGTCTGAGTGTCAGTGATAATGAATCTGGTCAAGGCAGCCAAGAGGGAGGCACACTGACTGACTCCCAGATCGTAGAACTCAGGAGAATACCCATCGCCGACACCCACCTCTGAGAGCCTTGCTAACCCTAACTGTTAGAATGTGGGTACTTTCATATTTGCCTTGGTTTTTGTACTAAGACTCTAAGTGCTTTCAGCTGTATAATAGAAATCTGAAAGTCACACTAAATGATTAACACATTGGAATATGAATTGCTTAATATCTATGTGACTTAAAAATTGACAGTTATAATGAAAGACTGGATCCATTCATGCAAGCTACGAGGATGTACATATTCCAATAATATTAGTTGTTTGTTAATCATACTACTTGACTAACTTTGCCTAATGAAAGTAATCATCAATAAAGCAGTAGAATCCAGTTGGCACCATTCAGGCTCATTATTTATGAAGAAATGTGAATGGGCAAAGAGTCAAAGCGTATCTGAATGATGTCAGGCACTTGTGTCTTCTAGCAGTGATAAAAAGCATCTAAATTCCAGACTTTACTGCATCCAGATGACTTTAATTCTTTTTAAATTTTTATTTACTTATTTTTATTTTATATATATGAGTGTTTTGCCTGCATGTATGTAAGTATACATGTGTTATGCAATGCCTGTAGA